GCTGATTTAGCTGCTAATTAGTTCTGTGCAATTAACTTCCAACGCTCATAATCACTGTGATGTCTAAGGTACTTGTAAAACTGATGAATTTGTATGTATGATTTCTCTAAAGTGCAGAAATATTCCAAGTATCATTTTCCTGATGAAAAGCTGGAACAGAGACCATTATCTGTTAATAATGTTCTACATGTTAATTTTGGTAATGGTTTTGTTATATTAAGCTTTTCTACAGATCATGGAGCAACAAGTCATCTTCATTCCTTCAAGTCACATAGAACAATGAAGAAAATTATCAAAGGACAGGCACAGTGCATTCAAGCAGTCAGTATCCGGTACCCTACTGGTTTTGGTGTAGGAGAAAAAAAAAAAAAAAAAAAAGAGAAGAAGAAAAGAAGTACAAAATTTGTATGTTTAGCTCTTGTAGCTGCACAGTTAGATGCACTCATTTAGTGCATTTAACTGGAAAATTAGTTGGTAGTCTCTGCCTTCAGTCATCTAATTCAAAGTCCCCCTAGAAGTCAGTGATTGAGCCCAGCTGGTTTTAGTTTTACAGTCATGCTCTCTCTGGGTGGAAGCAGCACAGAAATAAAGCAGCACTCTGCTTTAGCACAGTCCATTTCCACCTATGTGTTTATGTTGTCTTGTAGCAGGTTCTCAGTGTATTGGCTTTTTATCAAACACTGACAAAATGAGTGCAGTGGTGAGGACCAAGGCCTTCAAGTTTCTGGGAACAATTGAGGAAGGTAATGATACAAATATCTTTATATCACTTTTTAAATTACCTCCTTGTCTTTTTAATGTCATTCTCAAGTCATCTCTTAGGATTTGGTATTTATATCATAATATGGACTGCACAGCTACATATGTGTACAGAAAATCTCTTGTTTTCCTGTTTATATGTAAGCTACCATAGAAGTTAGGTGATGTTCTTTCTATTTTCTCTCTTCACTACAGCCACAGCAATACATATGTGAGAGCACATATTTCCAAACAAGACTGTCAGACTACAGCTTAAAATTTGGCATGCAGTGAAGTGCCTACATGTATTTCTACCCCTAACAATGGACAAAATGTAACACTGTTCCTAAATTACTGATTTCTGCTAAATGGTGGAATAGAAGCACACTGAGCTAAAGGTCATGACATTTCAAGTTGCAAATTTCCAGACGGTAATGTTGGAGAAAAAGATCTAAATAAACTACCTACTTCTCATCAATAAAAGGAACTTAAATACATTCCTCTGTAGTTAAAGGTGAATGAAAAATAATGAGAAGCAAAATTATTTCTTTTCACTCATTCTCTTATATTCATTTATTTTCATTCAAATTTAGACTTTTTTAATGTATTGCTTGATTGGTTTTGGAATTGGTCAAATAATAGCAGTTCTTACTGTTACAAAGTAGTAACTCTTTCGCCCATAAATTACATTTCTTATCCACTACTACTCAAATAATTTGATATATGCCTCATGTCCACTGCTTTTACATTTTGAGAGTAAATTTAAGAAGACCTTCATTTGGTAGAGCTGGGTAAACTGACCTATACAGATATAAATGTGCGGACAAACCACCTTTTCTGAAAACAACAATATTTCACTTCAATACTTCCAGCTTTATACAGCGCCTGTGAACTCATCCCACTCTTTGATCTTGAACCACTTGGTGATTTCAGTCGGAGGCAAACATCTTAAATACACTAAGACACTGAAGTTATGTGAAATGGCATCGGGTAGGGGAAGATGTAAGAGATTTCCTGCCAGGAGAGATAGCTATGCCATGAGCATAACTTGTGCTAAGCTCAGAAGAAAAAGTGTTTGGGGAAAAGTGCTTAGAAATACCCTCCTCACAGGGTAATCTTCAGAGCTTGCTCTTTCTGAGAAACTAAATTACCTTGGAGATAGAAATCTGTAGGAAACTTAGCTTTAGTTTCAGTCTGCACAGACAAACATGTTTCTAAGAACAACATTTTACAGAAGAGGAATATGCCCAAAGGCAAACTGAAAACTGAACACAAGGTAAATATGGCAATATTCCTCTTTGTTAAATTAGCTGATGCTGAGTGATTAGTACTATTGTTCAGCTCAGCTGTTAACTCTTAGCTGATTTCCTAGTGCTTAATTCACAGACAATTTCAAAGAGATTTATGCATGAACTGAGAGTTAGACATAGACTTAAATGTGGTACTGACACAAGCATTGTATAAGTGTATATTTAATGTGAAATATTGTGAATCCAGGCTTCAGCAACATCCTTAAGCATTCTGAATTTGAAGGGATTACTCACATCTCTACAGATCCCTGCAACCTTGAGCACCACATTGAATTATGAGGTAGTAAAGGATCAGTAAGAATATTCTCTAGATTTGTGGAGTGGGTTGAACCACTGAATTCTGTTGGTATTGAAAGAAGCCTCAATCAGTTAGTTACTTCTGATCTGCATCTGGCTTGGCAACCAGTCAAGAAGAACAACAGCGCTCACTTCCTATTCATGTATTATGCACAATTTTGCTTTGAATACCTTGTTTATTCTAACACAAAGGCTGAATTTTAATTCCATTTTGGTACTACACCAGTGGGAAAATGTGAGAATTGAGGGTGCCACTCAACTATTGAGCCACAGATCAATAGACAAAAAGTTTTTAAATGGCTTTGAAATGCCTGCATAGATAAAGCTATATCCATTATTCTTCTTTCTGCTACTGGGCAGAAATAATAAATATTTTAAGGACCTCAAAATAGATGGAAGTAGTAATATTGACTAAGCAGAAACTGTTTGCCAGGAGATTAGGCCTTAGTTGGTAGGATTTAAATATGCTTGGCATGTCAAAGCAATGTGACAAGTCAGTGTTTTCATAATGTTCTGTGTCTACCTCATAACTTGTTGTGAAAGGATGATGGCTGTTGCCAGCTTGCTTTGTTCTTAATAATATTTTTAAAGATAAGAAAGTGAAATGGCTCCATTTCAGGAATTAAGTCATCTCCTTGTGCCAAAATACTGACAAGCAGTCTTGGTGAGAGAAGATAAATGAGAGTTCTGACTCCAGCATCACAAAAAAGAAATCGACATAGCTTGAAAGGAGCCTTGCTGTTTAAGCTGAAGTTACTTCTTTTATCGTTGCAGATGTGGATGTCAAGTGAGTTTCCTATGTGAATTTTTGTAATACGAAATGGAACAGACTGTTGAACTCAGGCAATTTTAAAAGTCAAGGATAATTTTAGGGAAGGGGAAATCAGAAGAATCAGCAAGTAAAACACACAAATCTCAGTCAAATTATAGCATCAGCTGTATAGCACTATTTGCTGCCCACATCTAATCGTATATTGGCCACCTTGTCTTTGCCACTGTCACTGATTCTTTCAGCTCCCTCAAAATTGCACTTGCAATGCCTTCCTCTCCCTTCATGCTGACAGTATTTAAACCCCTAGTGAATAGTTCTCTGTGGACCTCCATTCCAGTATAAAAAGTCCTCTTTCCTATGGGTACAAAATGGAAAAATTCCCACTCAGACACTTACCCAGCACAGCAACAGCAGTAGCTCCTGACAGTAAGTATGAAATGGATGATGTCCATCTGGGGCTTCCTCTGCTCTTCTTTCTTTGCCTGTACTTCTGCTTGGCTGCCTGAGTACCTTCCATTCATCTGGGACCGGGAACCCTTTGAGCAGAGACTGTTTATTTTGAAACTCCTGTGAACACTGTAATGCTTGATCTGTGATTGATGCTTCCAAGCTGTGGGGTGAGACTGTATTGACCTGCCTTACCTGATGGAAAATACTGCTGGCTCATGAAGGAAGTGGCATAAAGGTCACAACTGAGATAAGAAGTAAAATAATTTATTACAGATGATTCAGGCAAACAGGAAAACCAGCTGTCAGCAGTTCAGAAGACGAGTCACTGCAAACCTTCACCTCCTCACCTTGCAAGGATTCTTACATCACCTGTTACAGGCCTGCCTCTTTGCATCAATTTGCACACTCTGGTCTGTTTCAGCTAAGAGTACTTCTTCAAAGTCAACATGCTCCTGAGCAGATGTGGCTCAGACCATGGAGTTCATTTATTGACGAAAATGCATGTTGAAATTTGGGCAGTGTAGTGGTTTGTTTTTCCAGTTTAAACACAGGTACAACAGACAACAAAGGAGGAACAGTATTGTTGGAAAATCATATATTAAATGGTTCCTTACTGAAAAAGTGCTAAAATTCCTACCATAGCGTAGGAAAAAAAAAAAAAAAAAGGCAATAGAAGCATATAAATATATCCTATATACACAAGCAGTACAACACAGATGTCTTGTAAGCAGGGATTAGTAGCAGGACACTGTTATAGAAACAGCACATATTTTCCCTTGGGAAACTTAAACCCCCACAAATGTAGTCCATTCAAGACCACAGAGAAACAATGTGCTGCTTATGCTCATTTCCTTTGCTTCTTGCTGAGACTGAGATTTTACAAACGAGGCTTCTGTACATTTCACATTCTGTTTAACAACTACCACGTCCTTGGATCAGCATCCTTTTGTCCATTAAAAAAAAAAATCTAAATGCATTCCTCTTCACCTTTATATTGTTATATTTCCCTTCATTAAACTGGACAACATTAAGTTATTTTCACTCTTCACTGCAGGAGCAAAATTGATGGAGTAGTTTTAGTAGAAGAACACAAGAGATTAATTTCAGACTAGTTTAATTTAAGCAGTTCCATGACAATAGCTGGAGACACACCTTCTGGGAAATGCAGATGCAAACTCAGACTGGAAGATAAGGTTTAGCGACATCAATGAGTTGCAGCTGCTGCATACTACTACATCTAGCAACATCTTTTTAGATCAGAGTCAGACTGAGCCCTAAAATAAGCAGCCATCCATCTGCTTTATGGCAAACTGCAACTGGATGGACATGAGGTGGCAACTGAATTCTTCATCACTCAACTCACATTTTCTTATTTGTCATTTTAATAGTGATTCCTGTGCAGGTCAGGTGCTCTTTCCCCTCCCATACACTACCTGTGATCGCCAGCTGAGTAACAAAGTAGGTCATTCGAGACTTCCGCTTCCTCCTCCAGGTAGAGAAGAGCACGATGGCATTTCCAGCAATTGTGACAATAAAGAGTATCCAAAGAGTCACCAGCTGCTCTGTCTGCAATGGAAAGAAGGGGAAAAAGCATATTGATGGGTGGATGGACAGTCACTTATCCTCAGACAAATGAGATGAGAACAGAAAACAGGAGTGGAATTTGAGTTTTGCCAATTGATTTCAACTATTTAGTCTAAATTACATTCTTGGGTTTTTTTTCAGAAAATACTTAACATGCATCACTGCTGGTGATGTTCATTCCAGTTTGGTTTGCAGTGGCTGTATATTACTTCTCTCTTCACAAAACCACTAGCAGTGTCTGTATTCTTCACTTAGTGCTAAAATGAGAGTCAGCTCTCAGCTTTCTTGTGCTGCTCCAGCAAGCTGTGAAATAACCAGCTGCCTCACTTCATAAGGAATGTTGATAGATGGGCTCCTTTGGAGAAATGGAGGAAAATAATACTTCTCTCTTCCCTAACTTCAGTGAGTGTGGGTCATTCACGAGCCCTATGAAATTCAGACATCCACTCCATGATCTAGATGTGCACCAGGACTGAAAAGGAAGCATGACCCACTAAAGAAAAGTATACTTGTGTAGCGACTGAAACGTGATGACAAAACGTCCCCTAGTGGTGTGTGCACAAAGAAAACAAGGTAAGAAAGCTGTTCGTGCTCTCAAAGCATCAGGATGGTCTGGCTGCAGGATCAACACCGTATGTGTCCACGTTCGGTTGTTTGGTGAGTGCACACCCAATTTTTACATCCTAGCTACTGTTTTAGGTTTTGTCAATGCAGTCGTTTGGGATCTTTCCATTCAAGACAACAAAGCCACAGCGTGGGAGTCACAGGAAGATGGAGGAGGCAGGTGGGGGCTGCAGCTGAGGAGGGGTGCCAGGTGCTGACTCTACAGACATGGCCTCAAGGACCTGTCCTGAGCAGACTGGGGGAAGGATGCTCTCTGTAAGACCCCACCTACCTGACTGCGCTGACAGAGCAGAAGCAAGGGAGAACACCCATTAAAAGCCACTCATTTGTAAGCCACTATGGGTGAGCAGAAACCAGAGCTCCTTCTGTTTGCAAAGAAAATAGCTCACTATGAGCGTGGGGTGGGAAGGTGAAATGAAAGGAATGGAGCAGGGACATGGAGCTTCCAATTTATAATTAGCTTAAGTCCCTCCTTGGCACTTAGCCTCACTCCTGGCCAGCAGTCATTGTCCCTCCATCGTCCCCCCTGAGCAGCCTCTCCTGGGAACCAGACTCAGCTTTGGTCCAGGTAGGAGCCACACTACCTTGTGGATCACAGGGTCATGCAGGGAAAGCCAGACCTGATGAGGAGCAATTTGATGTTGCACTCTGTGCCTGAGCCCAGAGATTAATTTAACCAAACAATGAAGGCTGTGTAGAGAGGATTTCACTTTTCCCAGCATGGTGATTTTCACCAACATAATCTACCACTCATGTCATCTCACCTAACTTAAAAGTTCTAAAGAGACACAACTATTCTAAATTGCCTTAGTATTGTCTAGGTAATAGCAGTGTCTCAGAGATGAGTCACCACTCATCTCACCTACCTTGGAATGGGTTGTCTCCACTGAATATAGAGTCACCTAGATGAGACAACCTGTGTGGGCTAGATACAGAGCTTTTCGATTAAAAAAAAAAAATCCATCTTTTTTGGGGTATCTGCAAATCTCTTGAATTTCTTAGAGACAAATTTCCTTAAAAATGTGTGGCAGAGATATGGTGGAAACTGTTTTTATGGGGAGCTTTTCTCAGTACAGGAATTGGAAGGAAATGTCTTTTAGGAAGACAATAAAATCATAAAAAATAAGATTTCACATCACTTTTGTCCTTGAAATCAATGATTTCTCCTCAGGGCTTGTTTTGGTTTTTCCATTTCAGAAAACATATTTCTCACATGAAGAAAACTAAGGGACTAGACTTGTTCCCATTTTCTTTGGTATAAAATCAGAATGGCATTTTCTTAAAAGGAATTATATTCCCGTATTTTACTGATATAGACAGAAGAAGGATCTGACACTCAAACCTTCTTATGATTCCCACTGAAGAAATAGCTATGGAGCATCAGAGGCTGTGTTAGAAGGGTAACAGCAGAGTACAAATGGTCAGATTAAATCCCTTCTGCCAATTTAAAAGCAATGCCTAGCAATTAAGCAATGTTAGACTCCAGAAATTAAACCAGGCTGCAAAGATAACTTAAAAATGCAAACACTGAAAATAGAGGTAAGTCTGGAAGGGCCATAGACAAAGAAATAAAGCCAAAATTTCTATTAATCTATTTGTGTGAGCTGCCATTCTGACAAAAAGGAAAAAGATCTCATTCCTGAGGATTAAGGAGCCCTAACAATGGGCAACTTAAATCACTGCAGCCTCTCTCAGTCTGTGTTAACTTGCAGAATGAAAACTTCCATGATTATTAATGGGATGCCCACTGTGATAAAGACCTTTGCAGAAGCTAGGATTGCAATTCAAAATTATCTTCATGAATTGGAAACGTGTACTAGGAAAAAAGCAACCTGCTGTCCAACAAGGAGAAGTGCAGGACTGCAGAGTAGTGAGCGTAATCACACTTGGTTGGACCAGTCTTCCAAACATCAACCCTCCCATGCAGCATACGTGCAAAGTGCCCCAGAACATAATGGCATTACCCTACCATGAGAGCTATGCCACCACCGCTTTGGGATCAACACCAGGCACATGTGCCTCTGCTCTAATCTTTCCATTGAACCATGCCCACTCCTGAGCACAGTGCTTCAAGAGAGACACACAAACGAGATGATATAAAGGATATAGTCAGGCAGAACCACTGAATGAATCAAGCTGCTAAATCCAGGAAAAGCTGACTGCAGGAAAAGATGAACATAGCCTTGAGGACACAAAAAGACTAATGTAAAAAAGTAAAGGACTAATCTCTTCTTTAGATCCACTGTGGACTGGACTAAAAATCAAAACTACAGTGCAGAATTCAGGATGAAAATTTAAAAAAAAAAAGAAGGCTTTAAGATATATCATAGATAGGGAGATTGATTGAGCCAGGAAAACTTCCATCTGTGAAGGCCTTAAAAATAGTTTTTAGATTAGACAGTTAGCTGATGGATCTGTGAATTTCACTCCAGGTGAATTATCTCTACTTTTATTCATCATCTTCAGGTTGTTTAGATATAGAAGTGTTTAGTTTCATGCCTTGTTCATTCATCAAACAAAAATCCTTTCTTAATAACAACCCTGAACAAGGTAATTTACAAAAAACAATCCTCAATGATATGTTGTGCAAACATCAGAAGCATTCTGATAAACAGGAAGATACCTCCCAAACTTCTTTTGACAAGGGCTTCTTTTGAAATGGGCATTAATAATTACACTAGATGAGAATGCCATGAGAGACTATGCCACGAGAGCAGTTATTTCAGGTTAGAAAAGCTAGAGATGCTGTTGACATTATTAAGGTCACCAACAAATGAAAGTCAAGAGGATTTCCTTGGTTTGACTCGAGCCATTGCACATGCTGCTGTTCCACAAGGCTGCTGTGTTTGGAGCATGGAAGTGCTCAACATCCAGAGGGCATATTTGGGTTTTGCTATGTTGCTCCAAGGTAAAAACCAGGCTGAGTCAATGAAGAAAATGCCTCTTCATGGGTGAAATGTAAGCCAGAAAACCTGTCTGAAATAGTGTGCATTTTCCTTCAGCTATAAAAAAAGGCTTGTAATTTTCTTTCTTTAATAAAATTTCTGAATGCAGAGGCTGGAATAAGTCTAACAAGAGGTGTATTCTGCTTTATATTTGAGGCAGAGATCACCCCTGCAAACTCCTTTAATCGAGACCATAGTTAAATCCTTTTGGAGATTTGGATAGCATTTTGGTATCAAAATGCCATCCCTCCTTCCAGTTCTCCCCAGACAACTTCCTTGCTCTGTTTTCTCTCAGGATTTGTATCCTGCTTCCTGGGGAGCACCAGCTGTGGCTGTGGAATGGGGATATACCTGATAGCCCATTCCAGTGGAGGGGCTGTTGCTCTTGTCTTGAGGTGCAAAAGCCTTTGTCTGATATTAGAGTTGCCTAAAGTTGCCTAATAGAAAGAGAGGTTCAACTAGCAATGGACAAAGATTATTTGTACTTGAACAGGGACCCAATCTGAAACAGTTTAGCTCTAACTGCTGAGGCTGCTGGGGAAACAACCTGGAAAAAATAGGTTTCAGGCAAGAAATGAGCAAATAGAAAAAGAGAGGGAGGGATATTCCATGCCTGGAGTGGCTGACTGGCCCTTAATACGAGGACTGCAGGCCTGTGGTAACTTTTTGGTCCTGCTGACCTGGTATCTTTCTGCACCATCTTCTTGGTCTCCTGGGTGCAGAAGAGGCACGATCCCTCATATCACAAGCCAGTAGCAGCTTAAGTCTCTGAACAGCTTTTTCTTGACAGTTGATAAGCTCTGGGAATACACAAATGATCTTGCCTTTGGTATATTTTAAAAATTATGGGGTTAGCATAGCAGCAATTGAGATTGTAAGGAGAGCTGTAATCATGATGCAAGCCAAGCAATTTCGCAAGAGTGCTCTTAACACATAAAAAGAATATATAAATCCCCTTGTTAAATTGGGTGACTGTCATGCTCATGGTCAAGTTCACCACTAGTAGATTGCATTGCACTTTCTTGAAGGAGGGGAAAATAGAGAAAAATCTTTTCTCATTCTCTAAAATAATCACATTAATTTCAGACCATGTAGAAAAATGGAGCAGTCTAGATTAGCAAATTTTTTTTTATCCTACTGTAGAAGATCTGGAATCTTGAACATTGAAAACTGAAAATGATCAGGACAGATTTGCTATTTTAACATCCTCCATTTAGGATGGAAACTTAAAACCCTTAAAAAAAAAAAAAAAAAAAAAAACAAAAAAAACTCCCAAAAACCCAAACAACAAGCCCCCCCAAAAAATAAACACCAAAAAACAGGATAATTAATTTCCTGGAGGCAGATGGGTGCCATGCAGTTTGAGTGATTTCTGTCAGGGATTTATAATCAGCTTATCTCTAAGGCAAATTG